AGCACTAAGAGATGGTGAATCTTTATTTCCAAGAAAACCAAATTTTAATAAATTATGAAGAACATTAGAGTTTGGATGTTCGAAACGTTTATACCACGCTCGGCATTAGAGTTTGGATGTTCGAAACGTTTATGCCACGCTCGGTAATTAACATGAGTAGAATTACAAGTGACAAAGGGTAAAGAAAAAGGAGACAAAGGAAATTAAAGAGGAAAAAAACATTCCACTTTAGGCCCCCTCGCGATCATCCTCCTTGACTGTTGATCTTACACAACACAACCAGATTTGGAAAATTCTAGTTTACAATCATTTTCAACCAATTGACCGACAAACAAAAGATTGGTGGTAAGACCAGGTAATACAAAAATATCAGTGAGAGAGGGAGAAACATCATCAGTGGCCATGATAGGTAAATGACTGCCATCAGCAGTATGGAGTTTGAGATTGCCAAAATATTCATTGACATTGGTAAGAGAAGCAGCATTGTTTTTCATATGATTGGAAGCCGCAGAATCAAAATACCAAGGAGATGATGTAGAAAGATTTTTACATGACAGTCCCAAAGCTGAAAATACAGAAATGATCATTTGTTGAATCATGGCAGGAGTAACGGATTAGATAAGAGGAGGAGCACTTTGTGTTAGAGGTAAAGAGTCAACCGAGACAATATATGTTGTCTCTGTTTTCTTAGGAGGTCGAGTGGGGCATTCTTTGATGATATGGCCATCCTTTTTGCAGTAGTTACAGAATATTCAGGGATAATTTACAACATAATGGCCAAATCCCTTACAACAAAAACACTAAATAGTGCTCATATCCCTGCCTCTTGGCTTACCTTGTGTTGTATAAGCCACAGGAATAGATGTAGATCGTCGTTGTTCCATGGTGGTTTGTGTGAGAAAGCGTTGTTCTTCACGAAGGAGGTCACTGAGGCATGTATCCAAGAAGGGAACAAATTCTCGGTTCATCATGTTAGATCTGGTGCCTTCAAATTCAGATCTCAATTTCATTAGAAACTGATCCCATTGAGTAGTTTCATGAACAGATTGAACAGAGCTAAGACCTTTGGATGGTAAGCCAGAATAAACTATATCAGTGTATTCAGTCTAAATATTAGTGAATCTAGAGTAAAAATCAGAGATAGAAAGACTATCCTGTTGAAGAGTGCTCAATTCATGTTCAAGCTGAAACCGTATAGAATTTATAGATATTTCCTTTGACAGGTGAAACCATATAGAATTTATAATTAAAAAAAAAAATTCTAATAGGTGGAGAAACCTATAGAAAAGGAGCATGTACTTAAAAAAATTTCTAAGTGGCTGGAGAAAACCAAGGAAGGTGAGCCTATACTTAAAAAATTTCTAAATAATTGGGGGACCCCATAAAGGATAGAGCTCGTACTTAGAAAATTTTATATGTTAAGAAGGACTCATGGAGAGTAGTGCATATGCTTAGAAAAATTTTAAGTGGCTTAGGGAAACCTATTGAGGGTAAGGCTATACTTATAAAATCTTATGAGAGGTTTAAGGGAACCCGAGAAGGGTGAGTCTATACATAGAAAATTTCTAAGAGGCCAAGGGAAACTCGAAGATGGTAGAGCCTGTACTTAGAAAATTTCTAAGAAGCTAAAAGGAACTTGTAGAGGGTGTAGCTTGTACTTAAAAATTTTCTGAATGCTAGGGGAACTCATTAAAGGTGGGCCTATACTTAGAAATTTTCTAAGAGGATAAGCTTACTTTAAAATAAAATTAAGAGGTTGGGGGAAACTTGAGGAGGGTGAGCTTATACTTAGAAAATTTCTAAGTGTCTAGAGGAACCAAGAAAAGTGAGCCTATACTTAAAAAAAATTATAAAAACAATTATAAGAAGTTGAGGGGAATTCATGAAAGGTGAAGCCCATACTTATAAAATTTATAAGTGGCTGAGTGGATCCTAAGAAAAGTGGGCTTATACCAAAAAATAATTCTAAAAAGCTGAAGGGAACCCATAAAGGGTCTAGCCTATACTTGAAAATTTTTAAGTGATTAGGGAGAACCCATAAAGGGTAAGCCTATACTTATAAAATTTCTAAGTGGCTGAGAGGAACCCGAGGAGGGTTAGCCTGTACTTCAAATAAATTTTGAAGTGGCTAGGGAGAACTTAAAAAAGATAAGCTTATATTTTAAAAAAAAATTCTAAAAGTTCGATGAGAACCTATAAAGGGTGGAGCCTATACTTAAAAAATTTCTAAATGGTTGAAGGAATCTAAAGAGTGTGAGCCTATACTTGAAAAATTTCTAAGTGGCTGGAGGGAACCTATCAAGGGTGAGTCTATACTTAGAAAATTTCTAAGAGGTTGGAGGAACCATTAAGAGTAATGCTATTAAACTATGAAGACCAAATTCATTCCTTGAAGAGTGGTGTCATTAAACTAGGGAGATAAAGTTCATTCATTGAAAAATAATGTTATTTAACTAGGAAGACCAAGTTCATCCCTTTGAAAGTAGTGTTATTATATAAAAAAAAACTTTATACCTATCTATTAGAGAGTGGTGCTATTATATTAGATAGGCCTTATACTCATCCCTTAGAAAATGGTGTTATTGTATTAGGGAGACCCCATACACATCCCTTATAAAGTGGTGAGTGAGGTGTGGAAGGTTTCTAGCCTAATAAAAATGGGGAAGAATATATATTTACAGTATGTAATGTTACCTTTTATGTATCATCAAAACCTCTAAGTCTCAGTGACATCTTTTGGTGTATACAAACTACTATAAAAATTGTTTGTGCGCATAGTCTTGGGGTATAGCCATCAAATGTAGCCATGTGTGTAGTTGTAGGCATAGTCATAAACATAGTTGTGGGCATCATTGTAGGTGTAATCAGGTATAACCTCTGACATAGGCATGTGGTTATAGCCTAGGCATAATTGTTGGCATGTCATTGGCATAGTTGTAGATATAGCCACTAGTATAACTACTGTTGTATTGGGTTTCATCAGTTATGGAAAGAGCTTTGAGAAATAAAAATGAACTGACTTTTTATTTAGTTTCTTATAAACAAGTCTCAATGATGATATATCAAAAAATCCAATAGCTTAAGAGTAAAGCTTACATGTTGGATAATCGATTGATCTCTTGGTTTCAACAATATAATTTATTCTCCTAGCCAAAATGACTAGCAGTTAATGCCTGGTGCCTAGAAAGTCAAGGTGTTTGGTACTTACAAAAAGTTCTTTTTGGTAGAAGTGTGAACTCTAAGATGCTTAGATATCTTTTTAGAAAGAAAAATGCAATGATATTTTAGAAAAATAAACTTTGAAAAAAATTATGCTAAAAATATTAAAAATGAAAAGATTATAAACCTGAAACTTGAAGTATTCATAAGGTATTTATAACTCATGAGTCATGTCCTTTTATAGAGAGAAGAGACTAGAGTGTCATTTTGTCCTAATAGTATTAATGAAGGATAAATATCTCTTACACAAATATTAATATTATAGAAATACAAAAGGTCATTGAAAGATCTTTTATACACCTAAGGGTGTATAGAGAGTAAGATTCAAAATGTAATTGAGCTCGTGAGGGCTGAGCTCTTCTTCTAGGCTGAGCCTGTGGTGTCGAGCTCTTCATTTAGGTTAAACCTATAAAAAATAGGCTTTTCACTTAGGCTAAGCTCATAGGTTGTTAGGCACAGACATGTTATTTAAGATCAATTCAGAGTTTTTTTAGTTCTTTAGAGTTTTTTAAACCCGATAAATTTAGTTATATTGCTCCAGCTAGAAGATAAAAGTTGAGAATTATAAAGCATATTCATACATTGTTATGTAAAACTATCTCATTGAATTAATTTAAATACACCATCGATTATTTACTTTCATCATAAGTACTGACCCAACAAATTTGTAATGAAGAAAACTTCATAAATTTTAAAACGAGAGAGAGTTATTTTTAATATTAGCACATCAAAATAATTTAAAAATATGAAAAAAATAATTTTAAATGAGGTGTTAGTTTGGTTGTTTTATTTATCAGAACAAGTTTTTTGAATCTTGAGTTCAAGAAATAAATACATTTTGAAGAATAAATACATCATGATTATTTTTTATTTTTTCAATGATGATTTTCATTCTTCATTACAATATTAATATTAAATCTCTTCTAAAACTATCTTAAAAACTCATTTTTGTATTCGTTTTCAATAAAAATTTACAAGATTAAATATTTTCTCTAACAATTTTAATCAAGAACTCACTTTTACCTTGACATGGTAGATTTAATAAATAAATGAATAAATTCTTTCGAAATTGATTTTAAGATTCGAATTCAAAACATGAGTGAGAAAATAAATTTCTTGCTATCATTTTGCATTATTGATAAAACTTATTTATTATCTGAAAAAATCAAACACCAAATCACCCACGTACTAACCCTAACTCGAATCTCTATCATACATTCAAAAAAGAATTGTCAACTTTATATCCAAACAGGAGTAAAAACAGGAGTAAATTCATTGTAGGCTTCTCAAATACACACGCATCAACAAAACAAAAGAAAAGGGTTGAATTTTTGCTATGCATTTCTTTTGTATGGAATCCAGCAGCAATTTTAGAGCACATGGTTATAATGATTATTTTTTAAAATATTTTTTATTTAAAAATATATTAAAATAATTTTTTTATTTTAAAAAAACTTTTTTAACATTACATATTAAAATAATCTAAAAGCACTCAAAATATTAATTTAAAAAAAAAAAATTTAACATTACATATTAAAATAATCTAAAAGCACGCAAAATATTAATTTAAAAAAAAAACACTAAAATCAAGCAACAATCAAAATCATTACCGATGGCTAATAAATTGATGGTTTTCATTTTTCCGGTTTTCCTTGCATACAATACATTGATGCAACGATGACGTGGTCTCACATACTCTAGTGTCAGACTCCCATAAATGATAAAGCAGCAAGAAAGGCTACAGAGGTGAGATTTGAAAGCCATGGCCCCCTCTTAAATACCAGAATCCAAGTATTGATTGATAAAAATTCATTCGTTATTCGTGATACATCATTCCGAATTTTGCAATGGCACACGCCAATAATAACATTGAATACTGTACCGGTGATGGAGCAAGAAAGGCACCATCTCACAGAACTCCAGAGATTCTATGGCTCCCTTGAAACTACATCATGAAGTTCCATGAAACTTGAAAGAATGTACGCCATTGATTATTTTGCAATGCATTAAAAGGGCGTAACAAAATCCCGAGATCCAGTAATTGACCTGTCTGTGTCTACATAACCACAAAAGAGATTCCATTCCAATTGTTGCGAAAGCAACTGCCACAACGATAAAGGACCAATCAAAAACAAACAAGACATTATGAAGCTTTGGAACTTCGAAGCTGCATTGTATACTGGGAATTGTCTCATCATCTTCTCAAATTTTATTCCACCAGCAAAATTGAAAGCTGCAATTAGTGATGGTGATCATCATCGTCACCGTGTCCATCGGGCGGTCCTCCGGGGCCCACTACTTCCAGCTGTCAAACACCAGCAACATGATCAGCGCTACTCAAAGCAACTTGTTATAGAAGTGCAACCAAAGACAATTCAGTGAAAAAAAGACACTCGGTCTATTTGTATGGAATTCCATGTATCTGGACCGAAAGATAATTATTTGGTTAGGCATTCTGTTACTTGAGTTACCCCAAGTCATGAATGGCATTATAGACAGCACATTGTGATCCAAAAATCAAATCCAAACAAAGCCCATAGACATCACTTTGTAATCGAACACTCAACATTGAATAAAAACTGCAAAGCCTTCGATGCCCAACCACAGGTGCATGTTCACATGCATACAAAACTAGATCTAAGGACCAGATTTATACGTACATATTGACATTCAAGTTACGCTTGGTACACTTCAGAGAAGGCCCTACATATTGCTAAGTAATTTTAATTCAACTCTTCTACTTACCACAAAGTTCTGTGTGCACACCGGGCATTCATGAGGCTTGCCTTTCTCCAGCCAAAACCACACAACATCATGCTCATCCTCTGCAACTCAAAAACGAGAAAATTATGTGAACTTCATTTGTTCAATGTACTGCAATAAATTACCTTTGCTTTAAGTGAAGATGCACTAATCAGCCCAAACAAAAATGGAGATATAAGAGTGATAGAAGCCAACCTCCTTCACCTCCAGGGCATCCAACTATTCTCTTGTCATAGTAGGACTTGATAACAGCAGGCTTTTCCTACAAGGGAAATATATAAAGTCAAGATCATCACAGTTCTGAGCCATGAAACAGAGGGTATAATACAGCACAAAAGAGATAACAACTTGTCAGCAATGAATGGTTGACAATTCAAAAGGGCCCATATTATAGGCTGTGATCCACACATAAAATCTACATTAAAAAAGGACCTGCTAGCATTTACAATGGTATAGAATCCGAAGGGCACCTATTTGAAGTTTGCTATTATTGAACTACCAGCAGAATAAAATGGCAGTTTAGCAGAGTTGTGCTAGCAAATAAAATCATAACAGCAAAAGACACATCCATCTGAAAGAATCTAATATAAATAAACATGATGTATACAAACAGACCTCATATGTAAAATTAGTGAAGAAAAATGTGATGCCGCTTGTCTACAAATATAAATGTGTTAGCACATGCACACGGGGGGGTGCAGGTGGGACCAACATATGGTCCTAATGAGAACTGAACCAACCCAGGCTAACATGAGCCATTAGATTCTGCTTGTTAACCTTCCAAGAATGGGAATGAATGTGAATAAAGGTTATTAAATTAAACCCACTCATGCAGTGATGAACTCAGTAAAACTAAAAAAAATGGAATCAGAACAGTCCTTCTAGATATATAACCATGGGATGGGGGTTTCAGATACAAGGAATAGGAATGATCTTGAAACTTTTACCATAGTCACTCTGATCAGCACCCCCACTATCAATGCCATGATCTCTACCACCAAACCACCTACTGCCCCAAAACATCACCCCTGCCACCTTCACTGCTGCCAGCACAGCCACCACCACCAACAACAATTAATTAACAATTGTTGTATCATCTTTTTCTCATCCCAAGTCTGTATAACATAGTAACCGTCTTTCGTTCCCATTGGATTCATTGGTTGTTCTCGTTCTCATTCTGATTTTTTTCTTTTTCATTATTGATTACTAACCATGTTCTTAAGTACATGATGAATTCTGTTTAAATAATACTGTACATTTTAAAACCTACTTTTAGAGCAATACAAAGGTCATGCGACTCAGCCCTTGGCACAATCTCAGAAACCTCAACACAGGAGCCATGTTAATGATCAAGTTTAGACAGGGATCCATTTAATCTTTACTTTAACCAAAATCACAGTCCAAACCACTCATTGTGTCAACCAACTTTCACAAGAAACCTTACACAATCACAGTGACATTCAACCATATAAGGAAACACAACAATGAGAAAACAAAAACCAAGCAACTCGAAGTTTGCTTATTCCTCATGCCAAGTTTGCATCCTAAGCAAGAAAATGCTGTCACCATCATGACTGTGTTTTCATTTTTTTTCAAAACAACATATGGTAAGGCATGAACCATTTTTGTCACACAAACACAAAGCATTACAACCAAGTTACATGAGAACGCAGCTCATAGCACAAATGAACAGCGGACAATAATAATATATAAAAGCACACATAGAGAATGACCTGATCTATTAAAAACACAATTCTAAACCAGAATCAACATTGTTGAAGTTGCAAAGTGCAAAGCACTAACCTTTGTGCCAAAAGGGCCTTCAGGAAAGTCTATATCAAGAAGTTTCTTTCCCTGAATAGAGAAAAAAATTGAAATCAGAATGATCTCTTACCCACTATATAATTAAACACAAGAGATAAAGTGGACATTGGTTGATGACTACTGGAATTAAAAAAATGCAATGCATTATCATCATAAATTATCATAATTAGGTCCAAATGAAACAAAGTTTGAACAAGTGCATGTGACACTGCACTCAGCTCCATTTACCTTCCCATTTCATGCAAATCAAAATGACAGACCAAAAATCAGAGAACGCAAAAATTCATTTCCCCTGTTTTATGAACATGATTGAAAACACAATTCCCTTTTCCTTTCCTCATTTTCCAGGAGTGGGGTGGGGGGGGGGGGGGGGCCC